CAATTACTAGCTGATCAATCGAACTTCATCGTCATGGACAATCTTCCGCTCATTCGGCTAATTATAAACTCGGGAAAGACCAGAATTGAGTTTCACTCTTGTGCAACCTCGTCCGGTGTGCATAATCACCGATGACTCATTCAACACTTCAGCTCCAGGACTCTAGTATGAATGGCTGGTGTGGTAATAATGTGCCAGATAGTTCTCACTGAGGCTGACTAAAATTGCCAATCCCAGTTGCTTCAAATGTTACTAAAATAATCGATTTCTATTCCCGTCCGCTTTGAGCGGACGATGATTAGTACGACGCAATTCAGCCTATGAACAATCATCTCAGCTAATAGCACGCATGGAGTGGTGAAAATCTGGTGCGGCAATTATCTGCGTACCCGCGTACCTCAAACTTACCTACATTCTTCGACCACTTCGGAGTAGCTCAAATTACCCAGAGCAATCAATATGTTGTCACGCAGAACATAACGATCGGTCGGTGATGGTTTTCTATGTTCCGGGAGGATTAGTAGAGCCGAAGTGGTTTGTACACTCTCATCCTTCTCCAACTGACACATACTGACCACGCGAATTTGTTCTGTCTCTTCGTCCATGCATAAATAAATCAACCATTCGCGATCCTTTAACACGGTCCGATGTAACTGTCCAATTAGCCGGGACGGAAGTTGTCCCCGTCGTTGCGACGTGATCGGGAAATTTAACGCCAATCCCGGATCAATATGACACACACGTGATCCCATTTGGGGATTGATGTTGAAACAAATAGACATTCGATCCTCCGCACCGAAATCACACGTGTCCGCTGGAATTGGTAACGGGTCACGATGGTGTTCCAAATAGGGAAATAGCTCCACCTCGGTCAATCTACGTTGTGCTCGAGTGCTAAAATTCCATGCGATAATTTCCAACGAGGATGGGGCCGATGTTCCGATAGGTTTACGTGAGACCGTATACAATCGTGTCTGATCCTCAGTCAGTAAGAATCGTATTGATGGTGGGACAGTGTAGGCCAATAATCCTTCACTGGACAAACTGAATTCGGTACAAGCAAATGTTTCCATCGTTCCGTCAATCTGATCCAACAATTGACCGGTATTCATATCAAATAGATTTAGGCATCCGACAATATGCCCACTTAACGGTGCTCTTGTGGCCACAATTGTGAGACCACGAGGACGAATTGACGCTACCGCCACGATTCGGGAATTTTCGCGGGGACATTTAAGTGCATGAGGTTTAGACCATCGGACAGTGTCCGGGATCAGGGGTTCCACAGTGAACACATAGGCTGTGCACTCGCCGCGATGAGCCACGACAAATTGTAAATGTTGTTTCGCGTGTGTCATATCGACTAACAATTCCCCGCTCGGTCTAATCCCCGACGGTAGACTCATCTGACGTGATTTACTCGCCCCGTTTGACTGAGAAACCAAAGCCGCATGTACGGACTCGCCCAAGCTCAGAAAACGTCCTAAAGAGCGTGCTGTATTTGAATTCCACGTCCATAAGTCGATGTGTTCCGTGCCCGAGTAGATCACAGCGATGTAGGACGATTGCTTATCTTCCGTGGAACTCACATAGATTGTCGGGGTTTCATGATTGGATGAGAAGTTCAGGGAATTGAAGACACCTGCATGCAGTTCATGATACTCGTTTGTCCACGTCTGGGCGGGCAAAATCGGCCAAATAGTGAGCAATGGACGAGAGNCTGAAGTAGAATCAGAGCTTCCGGGGTCAACCAGCGCAACTGACTGATCGGACCGAACACGGGTGATCCGGTTATTTGATTCCATTCCATTCGATCGTACCCCATGTCCCAGATTTCCACATGAGTGCGTTGTTCTTTTGGTGTCCAGAAAGCAAGAGCCAAACGATTCCTATTCTCCGGACAGTAAGTCAAACTGGTAATTTGAACGCTGGTTTTTGGCCATATTGACATCTCGGTCGATTTTGATCGTGTTTGATTTGCACTGATCAATAATTTAGATATCGTGTGTTCCGGTATCATATAATTTATTGGCTGTAACACTTGATTCATCGCATCCCGTTCAATTTGGTTCAATAGTCGAATAAGCATTGATTTCGAATCCTGATCTCGCTGTTCCCGATCCATCTCGTTTGTGCACACTTCCGAATCATCATTGTGTTCGAGATCTTCTGTGACACTTTCCAGATTTTCCGTTCCCACAGAGTTTATCTCATCTGCACCTGGTTGTTCCACAGACGTGGACAAATAGGTTTCTGTTCGAGCAAACCCGAAGTGGATGTAGCATAAGGACACAAGTAGATCCGGATCACGTCGAACGCGTGCACGCCAACCACAGATCGATCCGATCAGTTGGATCAGTTCGGGCTGTTCGCCAATCATCTCGACCGCGATAAACGAGAACGGATCCAATCGGGACCGGACCGTGGTCGGAGGTGGATGAGCCGCGAGCTCCGCATGGAACAGTTCCACCCGATCTGCACACACCTCGTACATTTGTGCAGTAATCTCGTCCAGAAGAAATTGCACACTGGGTTTCCGATCGTGCATGTGATACGCTATGGACATCAGGTCACGTAGCCAAAACAGATTGTAGAAACAGAGTTCTCTCAATTTCCGTGACTGTTTTGACCTGGCTAAATGAAAAGGCAATTCCAACAGAGCACGCCAGTTGGTAGCAGTTAAACCAAGCTGACCACGTAGATTCGGATCACGCCATCGTGTAGCTAACAGCTCAGCAAACCAATCGGCCCGAGCTCGATGCACCGGTCTAAGTATACTCTCCAATTCGGTTCCATAGCGTAGTAGCAAAGCGCGTCGAATTGTGGCATGTTTGAGAAAGATTAGCCGGAGGCAGCCATGTGGACCGATACGGCGTTTGCCAAGCAATCCGAACGGGCTCAGATAGACCAAAGAGAATTGTTTCCACCAGCTATAGGTCAGATTAGATTTGGTCAGCTGACCGGAAGCCCAGAAATTTGCGTGACCCAATGTGACCGAGTGTCTGTGAGCGAATCGGACCAGACTCTGACTCAACCGACCCCGATTGTGAAGCTTTTCCCGTGTGTGCCATTGA